GGGGGGGGGGGGGGGGGAGGATACCAGGAGTCCATACAACCCCCAGTAACAGAGAATGGGGACATGTACTGACTCTCAAGGTCCCAGCCTTGAGAACTGCCCACCAGAGAGAGGAGCCACCAGGCCAGAGTTGAAGCAGGCACAAGTCCAGGCCTGTAAACAAAAGCCAGGGTCAGAGATCAGTTCCAGTCAGAGATCAGGACCTTGATTCCTGCCTCTTGATTCTAACCTGGAGCTGTCTTTGATCTCTGACCCTGGCTTTTGTTTACAGGCCCTGGCCTTGTAACTCTAGCATTGCAGCAGGCCAAAGTCTGTGTCACACCCCAGGAAACTTCCTGGTCCAGGCTCTGGGCTTAAGTAGGGGCTCTTGACCAAAGGGAGGGCTGCAGGGTACTGTTGTTCTAGCTCTGTTGAGTGATGCTCCCCAGCTATACCTTTGGAAAACCCCTTGGGAGCAACTTCAGTTTATCAATGGGTCTCATCTCCACAGACTTGAGTCCCAGCCCTTAGGTCCTTATGCAGCCAGCACTGACCACATCTACTGTCCCCCTGCCTTGTTCCCCCGGAGCTTTTAGTCAGTGGAGCAGTCTCTGCCACAGCCTTAGTGCAGGGGTTAGGAACCTTTTTGAGGTTAGGGGCTGCTGACCTACAGAAAAATCAGCGGGGGGGTTGCACACAAGTGAAAGGCAAAACAAAAACAACCCCTCACTGATGTGGCCCCCGACTGAGAAGGAGAAAGACACTCCCCACATTCCCCTCACATACCAGAGCTTGGGGGAGGGGGGAGGAGGCAGCTAGTAGATTTTGTGGGCTCCAGCCCTGCAGTGGGGCAGCAGGAGGTAGGGAGCACCAGCACAGGCTCCCCAATGCAGGGTGGGGGGGACCCAGAGCCTCGGGGGCCAGATCGAGGCAATCCAGGGGCCACATCCGGCCCCCAGGCCTTAGGTTCCCCAACCCTGCCTTACTGACTCAATCAAAAAACAGGACTTCTAATGCCTTTTAAGATTACACTTGAAAGAGAATCCTCTGAACTGTCATTCATGCTTAAATTCGACACTTTACACTTAAGTTTGAATAAAGACTCTAATTATCTTACCCATTACAAAGATAGCTTCCTCAATTATCACCTCTAATATCATTAGCTCACAGACATTTACCTCCTCCCCGCTCCCCTTCTGTTCTGAAATTTGATTTGTCCTTTTCATATGTGTTGATTTTTTTTAAATTGTATCCTTTGGTATATATAGTTGTGACAATTTTCTTCCATTATTTGATCTGAGGAAGTGGGTCTGGCCCATGAAAGCTCATCACTTAATAAACCATCTTGTTAGTCTTTACAGTGATACATAGTCCTGTTTCTTGCTTCAGCTACACCAGACTAACAGGGCTGCATCTCTATCACTATTTTACTGACTCAATCTGATTCTCGTCTTTGGCCTTTATGGTACAGCCCATCCTCATGCTCAAGAAATCTGAACTGGAGAAGGCAATGATTCTAAAGGACAGGGATATGCTTGGCACTGATTCCAGGGGCCACCACCTCTCTCTCGTTTAAATGAGGACTAACGAAGGCTAGTTGAAAAGTTGAGGGAGGGTCCCTCTTTGTATGGATTTGTACAGTGTTATGGGACCCTCAGGGTGTGACCATTTAAATTAAAAATACAAATACAAATAATATAAAAACAGCACAAATCACAAAACAATATATTAATTATAATTATATTATATTATATTATATTGTAAACCATGGCATACACAGTGTAAAAGGTCATTGTACATGTAAAATCAGGGAGTAAGAGGTCACTAACCATATCATAGTTCTCTACCATTTACACTGACCTGGTTCGCAAACAGGCATGGCAGGATCCCATGTGCCATCCTGTTGGCAGCGAATCTGAGTACTGCTATCGGTGGTGCCTTTGATACCGTACCCGGAGTCACATTCAATGGTAACGATGTCCCCAAAAGCATAGGTCTCCTCTCCAGGTCTAAGTGTCGAGTTCTCTATCCCGTTGCTAACATTGAGAGCTGGACAGCGAACTTCTGAGAAACGCCAATGAAAGCAACAGCATTGAATCACACAGAGAGAATTGCGTGGCTGCAGATTTATTTTCCTAGGTGGCGCTGAACACTTTGCAAGCTATAAACAATAAGCATCTCCTTGACATAGCGACAGAGGCTTGATTTCCAAAGGCAGCTCTATCTCCTTTGCAGAAACAGCATGTGGGCCAAAAGCTACAGTTTCTACTGACTTTATGGGCAGCTGTTCTGAGGGCAGCTGGTAGGCTATTTTTGGTCTTCGTCACAGATTGACTCACTGAGGGCACCTGCTACGTTATGACCATACTGTGTGTAAAAAGTCAGGTAGTGTGATGTGGTGCGTCGTTAGGTGCAGATGGAGATAATGGATGGGGGCCATTGATTGGTCCATAAGCATAGAAATGAGTAAAGGTGGCAGATTTTAAGAGGCACAGCATAGAATTCATAGCCCATGGGAATATGCCAACTTTAAGCTATCTTTGTAACTTCCCACTACTAGGCTGCTCTATGGCTGTGGCCTAATATAGACAGCTGTGCCCAGCTGCCCATGGGTTTTGCTTCGGTTTTGTGCATAATCTCTGCAGCATTGTATACTGTGACTGCCCCAACACTCCCCTCCCAACCCCAGCCCTCTCAGGTTACATCTACACTGCGGGTGTTTTGCAGAAGAGGAAATGCAAATGGAGCACTCATTTGCATATCTTCTTCCAATCCTTTTTGTGGAAGAGATTTTTGTGATAAAAACCCCCTTGTAGACTGAGCCATTTGTCAGGAAAAAAACCCTTTTGCGCAAGAGCCTGTAAACCTCATTTTTTTAAGAATAAGGGATCTTGCGCAAAAGGGGGTTTTTTTCCCCATCATGTGGCCCTGTCTACACAGGGCTTTTTATCACAAAAATCTCTTCCACAAAAAGGATTGGAAGAAGATATGCAAATGAGCACTCTATCTGCATTTCCTCTTCTGCAAAGCACCCGCAGTGTAGACCTAGCCTCACTAACACACCACTTACTCCCAGACTTGTAAGAAGGTCCTGGAAAGACAGCCCTATTGCTATCTTCAGCAGTTCCTGCCTGGGTGGGGTCCTCTCCTTTAAAGGCCCGTTTTGCCACACTGGAGTTTTTATGTGATGTAAAGGGGCCAGCACGGGAGTGGGAATCACACTTCAATCACATTGCCAACCCTGCAGGCAGACAGACCCTAACCGTCCTTCCTCCTCTCTGACCCCCCAGGTCTACACTTTAAACTACTCGCCAGCTGATTATCAGCACAACCTCTCCATAGTGGTTAAAATTGCTCATTGTAAAAGAAAGATGTATAAGCCCAAGATTACTAGACTTACTCTGACAAAAGTCTGGAATGAAAGACCACGTCGAATTCTCATTACAAGTAGCACGTCCGGAGCTTAGTCCACCAATCAGCTTGTAACCTGGGCGGCAGTTGTATGTGACTACCTTCCCAGTGGGAATCAAGGTGCCAACGGAAGTCCTCCGAACAGCATTAGGAATAGTAGGTAGCTCCCTACATTCACCTATGGGTAAAACACGAGAAGCGTTAAGGACACACTTAGCCAGTAAAAGCCATTGAGGAGAAATCTCCTCCACAAGAGAGTGTAATGTGAAACTGGAGACCTGTCTGGGAAAAATCAGAGTCCATATTCTACTCCCTTTGGCACAGTTATGTGCAATCCCAATACCCAGAATTTCACTCAGTGAAACTGCATAAAAAAATAGGAATATGGGTGGCAGGCACTGTAAGAACATAAGAACAGCTGTACTGCATCATTCTCATTGCTCTTCTCTGGACCCTCTCCAATTTCTCCACATCTTTCTTGAAATGCGGTGCCCAGAACTGAACACAATACTCCAGCTGAGGCCTAACTAGTGCAGAGTAGAGCGGAAGAATGACTTCTTGTGTCTTGCTCACAACACACCTGTTAATGCATCCCAGAATCATGTTTGCTTTCTTTGCAACAGCGTCACACTGCTGACTCATATTCAACTTGTGGTTCACTATAAGCCCTAGATCCCTTTCTGCCGTATTCCTTCCCAGACAGTCTCTTCCCATTCTGTATGTGTGAAACTGATTGTTCCTTCCTAAGTGGAGCACTTTGCATTTGTCTTTGTTAAACTTCATCCTATTTACATCAGACCATTTCTCCAATTTGTCCAGGTCATTTTGAATTATGACCCTATCCTCCAGAGCGGTCGCAACCCCGCCCCGCTTGGTATCATCTGCAAACTTAATAAGCGTACTTTCTATGCCAATATCTAAGTCGTTGATGAAGATATCGAACAGAGCCGGTCCCAAAACCCCACTTGTTAAGCCTTTCCAGCAGGATTGTGAACCATTAATAACTACTCTCTGAGTGCAGTTATCCAGCCAGTTATGCACCCACCTTATAGTAGCCCCATCTAAGTTGTATTTACCTAGTTTATTGATAAGAATATCATGCGAGACCGTATCAAACGCCTTACTAAAGTCTAGGTATACCACATCCACCGCTTCTCCCTTATCCACAAGACTCGTTATCCTATCAAAGAAAGCTATCAGATTGGTTTGACACGATTTGTTCTTTACAAATCCATGCTGGCTGTTCCCTTTCACTTTGCCACTTTCCAAGTGTTTACAGATGATTTCCTTAATTAGAACACTAGAACAGGAAGGGACCTCGAGATTATCGAGTCCAGTCCCCCGCCCTCACGGCAGGACCAAGCATCATCTAAATCATCTCTGGCAGGTGTTTATTTAACCTTATCTTAAATATCTCCAATGATGGAGATTCTACCACCTCCCTAAGCAATTTATTCCAGTGTTTAACCACCCCGAAAGGAAGTTTTTCCTAATGTCCAACCTCAACCTCCCTTGCTGCAATTTTAGCCCATAACTTCTTGTCTTATCATCATCAATGATCAATTTCTCCCCCTAAAAGCGACTGCCAGTGGGACTCTGTGTATTGGCTAACAGCTCAATCCAGAAGGAGTAATGGTCATTTTCAACCTGTTATAGCCACACGTTTAGGCTACATCTACAGTGCAGGCTTTTTGAGCAAGAGTTCTTGCTCAAGAGCACGTTCACACTACTACGCGGTTTTGTGCAAGAGATGTGCTTTTTTGCAAGAGCATCCATGGCAGAGTGGAAGCTCTTTTGCTCAAGAAAGCTCTGATGGCCATTTTAGGGGTCATTTGCGCAAGAAACCGCTGTTGCCCATCCATATTGCCTTCTTGTGCAAGAGCTCTTGTGCAAGAGGGCTTATTCCTTGTGAGAAGAGGAATAACTCTTGTGCAAGAAGCCCTCTCTTCTGATGCCTTACTGTAAATTTACTTGCACAAGAATGCACCTTCAGTGTAGACACTCCACAAGTTTTTGTGCAAGAACAGATGTTCTTGCGCAAAAACCCTAAACCGTAGACGTAGCTTTACAGCGTGAGCTCAGCTTGAAACATGGGACCCCAACACAATGTGTGTACTTAAAGCAGAGCACATGCTCCAGGGCTGGGTGGATGGGGGCCATAAGGAAAGAGATGCACCACACCCATTGGTAACTGCAGGAGACAATGGCAAGGCGGAGCTGGAATTTGGGCAGGAAACCAGGATCAGTGTGGGAACAATGGCACGGGAACGTCAACAACCACCGGGGTCCAGGAGCTTAGAGGGAAGTGCAGGGAGCGTCCGGGGGTGGGGGTGAAGGGGAAAGCCAGGAGACGAGAGAGGGTGGGGATGGGATTGAAGGGAGAGGCGCATCCTTCTACTCACTCAGAGCTCCTCCAGGCAGCAGCATGAGAACCAGGGTCCCCAGAAGACGCAGGGTCCAGCAAGAGGGAAGTGATGCCATGGTGCCAGGTGAGTTCCTAGGAGACAGTGGTGACAGTGCAGGCCAGGTAGGTCTGCAGCATAGCGCAACCCAGACCGTAGGCAGAGGGGCTGGGCATATATAACCGGAGGAAGTGGGAGTCCATGCTCTGAAACTGCTGGGGTGGAGAAAGGGGCTGGGCAGAGTCTCCAGGTCTATGTGCTGCCCTGCCCACTGCGTAGTGTTGTGCTCTCACACACAGTCCAAGGGGTAAAGGAGGATACAGCTGCAGCTAGTACCGTGACGGAGACAGGCTGCGGTCACCCTCGCAGGACAGGATACACCTGGGGGTGAAAGTATTTCCTCCCCTTTGCCTCCTTCCCAAGGCAGCGTCCGAAGACAAAGACACAGAGTACTATGCATTGTCTAGCACCCCTGCAGGCTGCACACACTTGTGTTCTCTTTACAGAGAGAGCAGCTGGCTGGTCGCAGTTTACAGAGAGAGGCACCTGCCATCACAGGGCTGCACAGATAAGCTTAATATCCGCAGAAAGTAATGCTGCACCTTTATTTTTCTGGCCTGGGGACAATCAGTCCTGATCAGCCCCTCCACAAGGTGAGAATTCATGAACCAAGAGGCAGTTACCAAAGGATCCTTTCTCCTTATCTGTGGCTCCGTTTCATCCCTGCTCTAACTCCATCCACCTTTGCTAATGTCATTACACCAGGGATGTGTCTGACTCAGTGCTTCCCGGCTAAAAGAGGCAAACAGAACCACGCTGGAGACGGACATTCCACACAACAGGCCCAGCAGAAATAGAACAAGCTTTCCCTGAGCTACCGGCCAAATATACTTCAACTCTGACCATGTCTAGGTGTGAGGGGAAGGGCTGGCCCACGCTCTTTGGAGTCCCCGATGCGACTGCTCACTGGGCTATGGAAAAGATTGGTACTTCGCTCCTCCTCAGGAAAAGGAGCCTTCAAACATGCTGGACATCTCCCTGCTTCACAGCCAAAGGCAGACAGTTACACGAACAAAGACAAGCGACAGTTTTTACAAGTTGCACTTTTATTGTAGCCTTGCAGGGCAGAAATAACTGATCACAAAGACACTTGTTAGAGAACTTCCCCCTCCCTGACTGGGCCCTGGGAAATGGCTCAGCCGATTGCTCCTCTACAGTGAAATGTTCACCCTCTATTTGTGGGAGCGTGCGTGAGAACGTAGAAACGCTACAACCAAAACCAGATTTGCCCTGATGTCAACCAAAACCAGATTTGTTTTGTTTGGGAAGGAAAACTGTTAACTTTTGTATTAAGAGGCGAGGGCTGAAAATAGGCCTTTAAAAGCCTTATGTTTTCTCAGTGGGCCAGGGGGTTGTGAACAGTTGCCCTTAAGGTTCATGGAAATCAGGCAGTTACACAGCCATTCTCTATTTTAAATATGTGTGGGTTATACCGTGTGCATCAGGTGGCTGATTTCTGAATGGCCCAAGTTGTTGGGGTAAGTTTCCCTGTCCAAAGCTTGCATCAATTGAAAGTTTATGATCATGCATTTTAATCTAATTTCTCTCCACTTGCTTTCACTTTCCTAATGGAAAGGAAACTGAATTCACCCCCCACAAATATATAAGAGGATGGAATCCCTGATATATCAAATGGGGACTCACATGTGTGAGCCTGAAAAAAAAAGAAAAAAAATTGAACCCAGCACAAACAAATCTGATTCCTGATATACCGGCTAATCTCTTCTTGGATTACTAGGGACTCGGAAGTTCACTGAAAATAGTAACAATCATCGCATGTACAAAGTAATTATACAAACGGCATCCAAAGGAGACCATTTGTCACAGTCATGGATCACAGATTTCAGCTAGTCACTGTGGTTTTAGAAGGTCCTGCTTAAGTTTCTTAATCTCCAGATACAGTTTCTGCACTTCCAGAAGGGTTATCAATTCTGTCAGCGGCACGCCACATTGGAGAAACTTTACACTCTCGCGAGCCATCTTGCATACAGGTTGATTACTTTGCTTCTTCTGTAAAATGGAAACAGAGGAACTGTGAGTACGCTGAAGAAGATAAGGAGCGATCCTTGCAAATACACTTGTGCCTTCTCATACAGTCTGTCTGACCTATTGTATCATCCTGAAATGTGTTGCACACTCTCCGTTAAAAATGGCCAGAAAGTGAAAATTTCACGTGAAAATATATTGCAATTTTCACAACAGTTTCAACCTGCACTGGAACAAAACCAAACCAAAAAAGGCCCTGACATTTTCAATGGGAAAGGAGCTGAAGGAAAATTCTCTCTCAAGAAACCCATTGTAAATGTTTTTTGGCTTCTCGGCCGATCACATCAGCCCGCAAGCAGAGCTCCTGGCTGTGCAGATTCACTCCAAGCTCCAGCAACTGGAAATTCTGGCCTTTTAGACTGCTCCTGACTTCAGGGGCCACAGCAACTTGGTTCTCTGCCTCTCTGGCCTGGGGAGAACCAACGTGGGTGGCAGCGGCTGAGAGGCAGAGAGACCGGGCCCTTCGCTCTGGCATCTTGGGAAGGCTTTGGTCATTTCCATTTCTGCACATACGCACGCAGCCTATTCATATGCGTCTGTCCAGGCCCTAATGCAAGGCTCATTTCCCCCCTTTCCCCAGGACCGTGGCCCAGCCCTGTATCCAGCCTGGTTCCTGCGGGAGCGGGAGGGAATCAGCCCCAGCCTTCCCCAGGGAAGACGGAGCACGCTTGCTTGGGAGACTATGGGAGGGGGTACGTTCGCACCCTTCACACTGCATACAGGCCTGCTGTCTTATACCATCTGTGCCTGACTGAGGGTCTGATCCTGATAAATGTTGTGGGACCTCAATTCTTAACTTCTACAGGCTCCAATACTGCCAAGCAACTTTGAGGAAGTTCTGAGCAACTTGCAGAATCAGGCCCTGGACTGTCAACTCCTGGGACAGACACCAGGCCTCTGTTTACACTTGGACAATGCTGAACTCATTGGCAGTTGCTCACTAGAGCAGTCACTCATGATATTTGCTTTACACTGCGCCCTAGACTGACAGAAGGTAATATCCGTGTCATACCACCGCCTGCTTTAAAAACCTCTCTCTACAGATGTATGATGAAAGAGCATAACATTTTCTTCCTGTTGTGGTTTTTAACCACCCCATTTTACTCATTTTATTGTGGGCTTGGAGCAGCCACAGCAAAGGAAGAAAAACTCCTTTAAAATACAAGAAAAAAATTTGCTTGGGGGAGTGATGTGAGTGCTTTGCTTTCAGGTCAACTTACTTTGTTTCTCTTACGTTGTATGAACAGCATTCCTATCTCCCTCGTCACACATGCCTCACTATCTTAAAGCAGCACAGAGGCATCCAGACAGTGTTAAACTTTACAGTAAAAACTGGACAGAGTGCATCAAGAAACCCCAATGGCCTGTGATGCTTACACACTCAGGTAACACCATCCAGGTGCCATTAGCTGAATATGTAGGTAACACCATCCAGGTGCCATTAGCTGAACACGTAACATTCAAGCTGTCTGTTGTCATCTGATACCAAAGGCCAGAAAACTGGTACCCTGGAGAGCATTTGAAAGCAATGCTTTCATTCACGTTGTACTGCTTTTTTTCATCTAACGGATTGACCACTTCTCCATTTTGCACCTCTGGCTTTGGACACTCAGCTGAAAGGAAAAGGCAGAAGAGAAGACAGTTCAGTGAGAGGGGGAGATGCACGGTGAATGCTGCGTATTGCCTGCTAGTCATGCCCTTTGTTCACTTTGCTGCTGCAGCTGTTTTTGGGTTAGCAGAGAAATAAACACGCCATCCCCATAGTGCATCTCTCTCTCCGGAGAAACAAACGTTATGAATTCAACAGGAAAAGGGTGCCAGCCAAACCCCAGCCAGCACTGTGGATCATGTTTCATGGAGCCATCAGCAGCTGCAGCCCCACACTTGGGGCAGCAGAGTGAGGATGCTTTGTTGATTTATTTCAGGAAGCCTTATGAGTGGCCAAGGGACACTGAACATGCAGTTCATTCCCGTGCACTATTGTGGCCTTTTTAAAAACAGCCTCCATGGTTGATTGCAGATTTAGCCTCCTCTGCAGCGAGGGAGAAGTTTGTGGAAGTCAGTGGAGTTACCTGGGATGCACACTGGTGGAACCAAGAGCAGAACTTGGTCCTTAACAGTGTCTTATGCTTCCATGGTGACTTTCTTCCTGCAGGATGCCAATGGCTTTGTTTAGATACCACAGTGACTGGCTCTGTATGAACACCTTAGACAGACAAAAGTGAAGCCCAATTGCCCTCTTGCTTACTCTACTGAGAATCAAGAGCAGCGTCAGGGAAGCCGGAGAAGCTATAGTAGAACCCAGCACTTGCCGCGTGTAGCGTAGGTAAATTCTCTTTAAGAGGCGCTGCTGTTGAATCAAGTCCCATGTCAGTGAAATAGCCAGACCACATCCCTGACAGTGCTTAATCCTTCCAGGAGCTTGTAGGCAAATACCCCAA